CGGTTAAATCACCTCAAAATTATATAAATTTGGAACTGGAATTACTTTTATTAGGCATGTTATTAGAGGATTTTGAGAACATTGTATACTATGAGAGCAATATTACGACAGTAGCCAATATTGTATACTAAAATACACATATGAATGGATTAAACATTTAAAAATGTATAGATTTTGAAGGGACAACTCAGACGCAAAAAAACAAATAATTATAAGCAACCCATGTAACATGATATTTAACAAGCACTAATTGTAGATAGATTGAAAAACTAATAAAATGCTAAAAGAAAAGAAAATCTAGGAATCTTCCATCTGGGAATAGAGGTGAAAATCTAGTAAACCTTTATACAGTGGTGCCCCGCTTTACGACAATCTTTTTGCAATTGCAATTTCGATCACAAAATGATGGTCTAATGGGGGAATTTCGCTTTGCGATGATCAGTTCCCTGCTTCGGGAACCGATTCTTCACAAAACGATGATTTGTAAACAGCTGACTGGCGGTTTCAAAATGGTCACCGGGTAAATAAAATGGCTCCCCGCTGTGTTTAGGGACGGATTCCTCGCTATACAGGCAGCGAAAATGGCCACCGTATGGAGGATCTTCGCTGGACAGTGAGTTTTAAGCCCATTGGAGCGCACTGAAAGGTATTCAACGTGTTTCAATGGGCTTTTTATTTTCGCTTTACAATGTTTTCGCTTAACTGTGATTTTCCTGGAACGGATTATCGCCGTTAAGCGAGGTGCCACTGTAGTGGTCTATGAGAGTATTACCTACTTTTGCATTATGTAATGACCACACAGCTCACTTTTATTTCATGAATTTGAGGCTTCCTAGTCTGATTGCTATGAGGGGACAAGAAATGTGGGTTCATATAAGCCAGAGGAATCTCTTGATGATGGCAAGGATCAAGTTGATATTGTAGATATTTTAGCAGACATTCTATATCTGATTGGATTTCTCATCTCTGTTATTTGTTTCAGATATGCTATAATTGTGCTATATTCTTCAGAGGACAGATGGTACAGAAATCTAAGGAAATCCATTGGAGTTCATCCAGAGTTTTTATTCAGTTGGTAGCAACATTTTAAGTTCAGTGTAACGCCAAACATTCCAAGTGGCAGAAAGGAGTAAAATAATTCCTGCTGACTCCACTGATCTTGTGCAGTTACCAAGACGATTTCTGCCACTTTTCCAGAGTCCTCCAAATTGCAGAGCAATTTTTCAGGGAATAGGCTCCAAGGACACCTGAAAAGTTAGTTAATCTGATCTCCTTCCCAGTTTAGCCAGGAGAAATGGTCAGTTTAATTAAAACTTCCCACTGGTAAAAATACCCCTTTCACTTACTGGTGGCTTTTGCTGGATCCAGTCCATAAACCTAGCTAGTCCCTGAGCTGCTGTTCAACTGAGGTGGGGAAGCAAGCACTATTATGCCGACAGCTTACTCAATCTGCTATAATTTAAGCTTTTCCCTCTGATAATAACATTTTCGAGAATATATCATTCATTCAATTCAATTTATTTGTAACCTGCATATCTCCCAAACACAGGGAACCAAGGCAGCTGAAAATATACTATGCAGAAGGACAACAAGGAAGGGGCCAGCTTGGCCTCTTATAAAAGGGATTTCCATAGCCTAGGAGAGATCACCACAAAGGTCCCCTCCTGCCTCTTTCACCAGTTGTACCTATGAAGATGACATGACAGAGAAAGGCTTCCTCTGAAGATTTTAAAACTCAGGCTCACACTGGAAGATGCAGCCTTTCAGACAGCATGGACCTAAAGTCCATGGCACTGAACTGTGCCTAGAAACTGATTCTGAACTGTACCTGGAAATGAGTGTGTAGCCAGAATTTCTGTTTTCCATGCAACCACTTCCACACAGTAATCTAGCTGAAACAATGTAACAACAGCATTTTGGGAACTGCTGAAGTTTCCAAAGGCAACTCTGTACAGAGCGCAGTATAATAAATATATGGGCATAGAAACAGAATTGCAAAATCACAGAATAATGAAGTCGGAAGGGACCTTTTAAATCACTGAGTCCATCCCCCTGCTCAATGCAGGAATCTAAGTCAAAGTATATCTTTTGATGGCTGACAAACTTTCTCTTGAATGCCTCCACTATTGGAATGCTCACCACCTCCCAAGATAGTTCAACTATCCTGCTGCTTTTAAGAGTTACACAGATTTCTTTTAAATATTCAACCGGAATCTGTTTTCCTGTAACTTGAACCCATCATGACATAACCTGCAATTTGGAAGGATTGGGAAGAGATCCTGTCCCTCCTTTGCAAGACAGGATCTCTTCCTAATCCTTCCAAGTATTTAAGAATGCTCTCATACCTCCCTTCAGTCTTCTTTTCTCAAAGCTAAACGTGTCCATTTTTTTTCAGACTTTCCTCACAGGAGTACATTTCCAGTCCTTATCATGTTTGTTGCCTTCTTCTGAACCTGTTCCAGTTGGTCAACATCTTTCTTTAAAATGTGGTGTCCAGAACAGGAAACAGTACTCAAGATGAGGCCTAACCAGTGCCAAATAGAGGGGGACTAGTACTTCACATGATCTGGAGACTATACTTCTATTAATGCAACTTAAAATAGCATTAGCCATTTTTGCAGCCACATTGCACTGCTGGCTCATACTCAGATTGAGATCTCGCTTGTAGTATTGCTGAGCCAAGTATCCCCCAGCTGTGTGTTTGAGTTTTTTTCCCCTAGGTGTAGAATTTCATACCTGTCCCTGATCAAAATCCCTGAAGATGTGAACTTTTCAAAGTAATAAGCTATTATGTGACTATTTGTTTATCAATCTCAGGATGCAATCCTGTCTCTTCTATTTGTACTTCACTTTTGCCGGAAGAAACATAGGCCCTCCTCTGGGAGAAAACTGAGCAAAACCAAGAAATGAATACTCGTGCCTTTTCTTTGTCATCTGTCATCATTCTTTCCATCCCCATTGAGGAGACGACCCACTTTTTTTCTACTCATGTACCTAAAGAATGCTTTTTTAATGCTTTTAGGATCTCTTGCTAACCACAGCTCATTCTCAGGTTTTACCTTCTTAACACCATTCCTGGAATTCTTTGCTACCTGTCTGCTCCTCCTTCATGGCCTGACTTTCCCTCCCCTTCTAATATATGGTTCTTATTTTATGTCCACTATGAGCTTCTGTGAAGCCAAATTGGTCTTTTTTGATGTCTTCCTTTTTTTAAAATTTCTTGTTGGATTTTTTTTGCGGCTGTGTCTTCAGAATTTCTTTTTTTTTTTTTTTAAAGAAACTCTTACCCCTCTCAGATTCCTTTTCTTGTTAGAATCTCCTGCCATGGGATCTTACTTATCATCTTTCGCTGTGGCCACACTAGACACCTCAAGAACAGGTATATCTGGCATTTGCACATCAGTGTACTTTTACATGCTTGCTCAGTATGAATAGATACTGAGAAGTAACATGACATAAATATGTGAAAGCTTATTAGTAATACTGGAAGAAGTTAAGCTTTTTGATCTGATCACCTTAGCAACAATAGGATTCATACTCTTTTAATGAAATGCTGGGCATTTTCAAAGGCCAATTGAAAACCTGGCTATTTAGACAAGCCTTCCCTCCAGCCACCTCTTGATTTATTTTGTTCTCTCATCTTGAGCCCTTGTCTATTGTTGTATTGCTTGATTTATATTTTAAATGTCTATTTTATATGTTGTTAGCCGCCCAGACTAGTCAGTTGACTAAATGGGCAGGGTACAAATCCAATAAGTAAATAAATAAAATTTGCTACAATTCATTGTAGAATATTACTAATATTCCTAGTTGTAGTTAATTTAATATTAGGGCTTATTGTTATTTTAGCTGCATCTATTTTTCATTAATCTTTTGAGCTGCCTTGATCTTGCTCTGGAAAAAGGCAGGATGTTAAATTATTAAAGATAAAACAAAATAATTAGTAATAATTCTTTTTTAAAAACTGGAAAATTGATACAAGTAAAGAATATTTTTCAATTCCAGTAATAGAATCATTTCAAGACACATTCTATGATACACGAACAATATAGCTGTTTTCATTACAAACTGAATGTTCTACATATTTTGTTATATTTGAGGAATAATCATAATCCATAGTAGCGTTTCAGACGCATCTTTATTGCACTTTGGCAGCCTTGAGTTTTAGCAGGCAGAGTGGGTAATAAAATTAACAGGGTATGCATAAGGACAAAGAAATGCAATGACAAAAATGAGGAACTAGAGGATTTTATCTAATCAATTCTAAATCAATGCCTTGCATTTTTTTTTCCAAAACAGGAACAGGATAGTATCCTGTCTGATGCATTCATTTATCTACTACAGAATTATATTTCTGATGGAAAAATGGTTCCTTGCAGACAACACCGGAAAGTGCTGTGTCAAATACTGAACCATGTCCAATGCATTAACCTCAAAGATATCAAGTTGCTGAAAGAATACTTTAAGAGGTGAACAGAGGAACAAAATAATATATTTTTTTAAAAAAAAAATTATTTTCAGCTGCTGTTCTTTTTTTACTTCAGCAGTATCATAATTAGGGTGGCATAGATTTGTTTCAGCATCTTCTAACAGAAATACAAACCAAAAGTAGAAAATAATGATTTGTAAACTACTAACATTTATTATTGACTGGGAGAGACATCTGAATGCTTACATCATGCATTCATGACTAAGTAGCACCAAAATATGTTAGAATATCACATGAAATTATTTCTACAACCTGTGGAATTATATGTAACCTGTTGTGGAATTAAATGTATTACATGTCTCTCATTCTAATTATTAAAACAATATTAAAGCTAGAAACTAATAAAGTGATCTCGAAACATTTTAGAAAATACATACATAAAAATGCTGAAACATAACACTATTTACTTATGTAAATAAATAATGACAGACATTCATGGTCAGTTGAAAGACATTTGTTGCTTTTAACTTTTTTAGTGCTGCTTTTACCTACTAATTTTGATATTATATTTTAAGTCCTTTAAATATTGTAATAATTTATTGTTTTTAGCTTTTAATATTGCTTCTTTTTGATACTGTGAAACTCAAAATTGAAGCTATGCCAGCAGAGTTCTATAACTGAATACTGGCCAACATGCAAATTAGAAGAAAAGATTTACAATACATAAAATAAAAATCATACCTGATAATCAGGTTTGGTAAAATAATCTAAGGTAGAAATATGATCTAGAAAGGTGTTGAATTCTTGAGGAAGATGTTTCAGCATCAGTCGGTGGTCATATCTCTCCTTTATGGAGCCTACTTGCTCCTAAAAGAGGAAAAATAAAGTATTTACCACACTTTACTTCTAAATTGAGGATATTATTTTACAAAAACGAGAAACTAGGTCCCAAGATCTGACTTTCTAACTCTTTCACAGAGATAAGTATACAGAATTCTGAGTAAAACACCTATGTTCTGTAGCAAGACAATGTAGGCCAGTGAAGCATAATAAAACACATACTCTTGTATACCTATCTCTCCTGTTAAGTGAAACCATCTGAATAAGAGCTGTATTAAATAGAATGGAACGTCTGCCAAAAATTACATCTTTAAATCCAGCTTAATACTTTCTAACAACAAACATGGATCTCTAGCTGACCAGACAAAATATACATTATCTAATACTCTGATCATATTTACCAAAGCAGTTTTCATAAGTGCAAATGGGAGGGGATAATCCTGCAGCTCACCAGGTGCCCTAAACACACACAAAAACCTACTCCATAGAGTTGAAAAACCTATCAGGGCATTTTCCCCCTATGGAGAAGGTTGTGAGGGGGGAGACACCAAGATTACTAACACTGCTACAATCACTGCATTTGATTTAGGCCAGAAGAGAAACAAAACTTCTTTGAAAAAAAACCAACTGCTTTGATCATGTTTTACTGTATGTGTCATGTAAAGGAATTGATTAAAAAACTTAATACAGTAAAATGGCATTGTTTTCTAACCACTATTATATACTAAAAAGAATTGCATGAGTAATTCAGAGTAATTTTCCTTTAGCATAATGCCCCCTTGGCCTGTCAGTGCCTCTCAATTGCCAGATTTCTCAACAAACCTTGTCTTTAATTTTCCTCCAGGGCAGTTGTCCAACCACAAACTCCACTAACATGTAAAAAAGAGACCAGAGATCATCGTGACGTCCCATTTCCTACAGAAAAAAAAATGGAAGCTATATGTTATTATGCAATGAATCCAAAGCCAGTTTTAACATATTACGTTCTTACATTCTTCATTTTAAGGAGGTGGCTCCAAGCTATCTTTTATTCTGATTGCATTACAGTAGACCCTCAATTTACGGAATTAATCCATATTGGAACGGTGGCTGCAGGTCGAAAAGTTTGTAGGTCGAGGCTCCATTGACCTACAATGCATTGAAAACCGATTAATCCGTAACCGGCGATTTTTGTTCAATTTTGTTTTGTTTTTTTCCGGTCTGTAGGTCGATTCTCCGGCTGCAAATCGAACCTAAATTTTGTGGCCAGAGAAGTCTGTAACTCGAAAAGTCTGTAAGTGGTTGTCTATAAGTCGAGGGTCCACTGTATATGACTATAAACCCACTTTTAATCAATTATAAGTACTTACCCTGAGCAACAAAATCCTCCATATTCATTTTGGATTTTTAACTGTATTTCTTAGATTACTTTCTTTATACTGGCTGCTATGAATGCAGTTTTCTTAACATTCCTATTTATACCATTATTATTATTTCTTAATTAACTTTATTTAGTAACTTCTGAAAGCCACCTAAACTGTCAGGTAGTAATTATAATTTTAGATTAGTCTTAATTCGACAAGGATATATACTCTAACCGTAGCTTTTCTGTTTAGACTTGGAGAACACCTGTAGAGAAACCTTTGCTGATTCCAGTGACAGCATTGTTGTCAGTACAACAATGAAGAGGCCCTATGGCTCAAGTCCAGCCCTGTCAGGGAGGCTCAGTGGGGAATTGAACTCCCAATCTCTGGCTCTGCAACCAGATACCTCACCTAAACCACTGAGCTATCCAGCAGTTCATCGTACCATCTACATTCTGAATGTTGTTGAGACTCTTCTACTGACAACAATGCTATCACTGGACTCAGCAAAGGTTTCTCTACAGGTGTTCTCCAAGTCCAAACAGAAAAGCTGTGGTTAGAGTATATATCCTTGTAGAATTCCTCTATGTCCCTCTATGCCCTCTTTCACCACAGGTTTTTGTTTTGTCAATGCAGGTTGTAAATTGCATAAATATCTCTTGATCCAAGACCTTTGTTTATCAGCAACTTCATCAAATTGTCACTTTATTTTTTTCAAAGGCTTTCTCATAGGCAGTAAAGCTAGTTATAACTTGTTAGTCACAATCAGATATCAGTGGGCCTACTTTAGGTAGAACCCATTTAGCCTTTACAATTTATGATGTATGAATCTGGCACGTCAACAGTTCATGTATAATCCTTCAATACAACTAGAAATATTTCACCATATGCACAGATATATAATATTCATAATTCCTTCGGTTTCTCCTGTGCTGGTATTATGCGATTAAATATGTCCACCACTAAAAGAAATTTCAATTATTGTATTATCCTTTGCGAGAATACTCATTTTGATTCAAGTAACAGAAACAGTGATTTGGTTTTGCCATTATTTATAAATTTCAAACTATAATATTTCCACTTATAAAGTAATTATAAAGAAAAGGCAGAAAGTTACAACTAACACATCACCTACATTTTTTTCCATTTCTAACATTCAGGTTACTAATATAAATACTAATACTCACTCTGTTCCTATGAGCATTGACTGAAGCATACCGCACTGTCCCTCTGAAACCAGCAACAGCTCGAGGCTATCAACCCAGGACAAGAAAAAATATGACAGAAGGATGTAACACATGATATGCCAATATCATTTTCAGTAATATATAAAAAACATAATACAAAGTATAATGTAGGTCATCTACTTTGAAGTCTTCTACTACTGAAGCACAGGTCTGTTTAATCTTCTGTGTTATTACTGCAGCATGTTTGTACAATAAATGTAATTTAAATGGCTACAGAAAGAAACAAGAGTGTCATGTTTTTCTCTAGCTTAAAAACAATTTCTTTATTTCTATTATACAGTAGTAATTACCAATACCCAATAAGCCATTTTGTCATCACAGCATTTTGAAACATTTATTTACTAGCACCTTAATACTGGCAAAATATAATGAGAATATGTCTCCCTTCTAACATGAAGACTACCAGGCCATTTAAAATTAGCCTTTGGGAAATATATTTATTACATTCATGTTTTAGAGGAAATATCTTGGTTTACTTTTTATAAATCCAATTTGAACTGGAAAAAGAAGTCACAAAGTACTAATCTTTATAGTGTATTTGCATTGCATCCCAACAGCCTTGGTGAAGTTGATGAACAGGGTCAAATATTGCCTTTGGAAGTAATGTTTCCATTGAGTCTATCACCACATTCTCTAAATTCTGTTAAGCACTTACATATTAGACTTCTGTACGGTGAACTACTAAGAGTTGTATCTCACGATGGGTTGTAGTATCATTCATCTTTCAAAGGAATGCTTTCTTGGCAACAAAGAAGCCCTGTATACTCATGTTTAAAATTCACCAATAATTTTATGGATACATGACCTGCTGGCAAACTTTGCCTAGTCTAATTAGCTTCAAATAGTCTCTCTTATCATCCACTAACACTATGGCAGTGATATTCCTACCATCTAGCTGCAAAGACTTGCTTTTACGGTTTCAGGTTACTATGCCTCTTTAAGTACATTTTTTTTTAAAAAAAAATCTGACTGCTAGTAATACAGCTTCTATCATTTATCTTGATAAATCACTTGTCCTACATCTTTTGCACAACATAAAATATTGCTTCATGCCATCTTGGTGAATAATGATCTGCAGATGTTCAAAACTAATACCTAAAGAATTACATAGGCTGAAATCCTATTGCTACATCTTATGCTACCTAAGATTCATGACATCATAAAGTGCAGTAATTTTTAAGAAATAGAACTTTTCTGATAACCCTCCCAGAAGGGCCAGAGGCTTCATTTCACCGTGGGGAAGCCACTGAGGACTGTGAGACAGTGGGAAGGGGGAAAGAGAGTCTAATTTATGAAAATCGCTACCAGTGGTAAAGTCAACTTGTGTTCCAATATAATAATCATGATAAAACATGAATTTTGTGATGTTGAGTGCATTCTTTAAAAGATTGGAGAAAGAAGTTAAAGAAAGAACCATGAGGACACAAAGAAATGGGATTCTCTCTCATTATGCAGGAATGTTAAAAAAAAATCAGTAACTCGGAGTTTGCACACATCAAGGGGAAAACTGAACAACAAATGTGGCTTCTACTCTGATATTTAATTGGCCCAGAATAAAGGACTGCTAGAGTCAAGAATCCTTAAAATCAATCATGGATATGTTTCACCTCATCCAGAAGGCTTTCACAAGCTGGGATCATACTGATTTCTGCATAACTTTCTCTGCAAACACACTGTACATCATATACATCACATAGTTTTTCCTAAAATTATTCTCAAATACCATATTTTCCCATCTATTAGACACCACTTTTTATTAAAATCATTACCCTAAAAATTGAGGGGTGTCTTTTACACAGAAGTAAGCTGAGATAGCTGAAGAGAGAACAAAACGGCATGTACCTTGCCTCTCTAAACAGTCTTGCTTCAGCCAAGAGGCTTAGTTTCCTACAGTCAGGAGACTTAGCTACCTCCAGTCACGAGCCTTATGGTACTGATGTCAGCTGATCCTGAACAAACCAACTGGAATACACCTCCTTGGAGGTGGAGCCTGTAGGCTTAAGATTCAACAGAGACAAAATGTCCGACATTCTGAACTCGGAGGCTGAATCCTCAAGCTACGTTTTCTTAATTTTTGGTTAGAAAATTGGGGGGGCATCTTATAAATGGGAGCATGTTATAAACAGAAAAATACAGTAGAATACATAAATACACTGATCAGCCATAGCATTAGAACCACTGACAGGTGAAGTGAATAGTATTGATTATATTGTTACAATAGCACCTGTCAAGGGGGGGGTATATTAGGCAGCAAGTGAACAGTCAGTTCTTGAACATATGTTGGAAGCAGGAAATGTGGGCAAGTGAAAAGGTCTGAGTGACTCTGACAAGGGCCAAATAGTGATGGTTAGATGACTGAGTCGGAGCATCTCCAAAAAGGCAAAACTTGTGGGAATCCCCTGTATGAAGCAGTTAGTGACTAGCAAAAGTAATGCAAAGAAGGACAACCAGTGAACTGGCATTAGAGTTGCAAGCACCCAAGGCTTAGTGACGTATGTGGGGAGCGAAGCTTAGCCCATCTAGTTCAATCACACAGAAAAACTGTACTTCAAATTGCTGAAAAAGGAAGAGATGGCAGCAGGATGCTCTATGGGAAGAAGGCAGGCCAGCGGAGGCAATGTTATGCTCTGGGCAATGTTCTGCTGGGAAACCTTGGGTCCCGACATTCATGGAATGTTACCTTGACACTTACCACCTACCTAGAGACTGTTGCAGACCACATACATCCCTTCATGGCAATGGTGTTCTCTGGTGGCAGTGGTCTCTTTCAGCAGGATAATGCAATCAGACCACACTGCAAAAATTGTTCCCAAATGGTTTGAGGAACATGACAAAGAGTTCAAGGTGTTGGCCTGACCTCCAAATTCCCCAGATCTCAATCCGATTGAACATCTATGGGATATACTGGAACACCAAACCCAGTCTATGGATGCCCCACCTCGCAACTTGCAGGATTTAAACGATCTAATCTCTTAGTGCCTGATACCATAGGACATGTTCAGAGGAGTCTTGTGGAGTCCTCAGTGCATCAGCGCTGCTCTGGTAGAACAAGGGAGAACTACACAATATTAGGCAGGTGGTTTTAAAGTTGTGGCTGATCAGTGTAAGCGGATTGATGAAGCCCAAACATATTGTGTGATGCATCAAAAGCATTATACTTTATATAATTTCTATTACTAAAAAGACTAATTTGTTTACGTCTTTATTATAAAATGTATCAGAAACAGTCTAATTTTGTCAATGAACATCAGCGCCTCAGCTTTTAGCTGTTTTCCAGTTGGCTAGAACAGCTGATGCAACAAAACATTCAACATTGCTCAAGGTTACAGAGAATGTCAATAGCTCAGGATAAAATTAGAAAACAACTACATCCAACCTTCTTTACAGAAGCCACTAGGGTCACTTACGGTAAGTCTCTTGGTTTCTAACAGAATGCAGCATATATGGATTACACAGTTCTATCCTGCAATCATTTTAAGAGGTCACTCAAATTTAAAATTATGTATAAAAAGTTTCATTAGATTTGCTCACTGGTCTGACATCTCCACATGAATTTGTAAACTGACGTGCCAAGCCAAAATCCAGCATGTAACATTTCCTCCAGGTGCTTGGAAAACGCCCCATAGCAAAGTTGGACTAGAAAAAGAAGAAAATATAGGCTTACAATATGCTGACTACTCACTACAATTTCTACTTTCATTTGATATTCTTGTTCTAAAATGACTGAGACAAAGCCGAAAAACATAATCTCTGCTAAATATTGTATGATTCAAAGGTGTCAAAAGTCCTTTATTACTACTGCACTGTCCTTCTGGTATCGTAGATATCTACGCCCTTCCACACTCAACAAATACAAGCAAGAAAAAGTAGTTTGTTTACAATGATAATGAAACAAATGACAGAGATTATGCAATTCCTTCTGCATAACAGAATAAGTAGAATAAATCAATAAAAGCTGCAAAGCACCAGAATTTCTGTCAAATCAATACTACTATCAAGGGTAGTACTGTATGTTAATTAAAAGAATCATTGATGAACAAGCCCTTTGATATAAACATAGCAGGAATTTTGTCCCACTCACTTCTTGTGAATGACCACTGCTCATATGCACATGGAAAAGTCAGCAATTTACATATGACTGTATCCTTCATATCTGACACAATATGTATCTAGTGCCAATCCATGATAGAACTCATTCAAAATATCATAAACTGAGTTGCTTTAAAGCTGCATTCCAGAACAAAAGCATCAGGTCTAATATTTAGATTGTGCAAACATTCCTGTGGTTGAATACAGTACATGTTGTAAGAAATATGCAAGACATTTCTATGAACTTATTGTTTAGATACACCTATATATATTATGCAACCAAATTCTACAGATTAGAATTTAGTTGTTCTCCTTGCCCCAAATCCTAATCCTACAGTTAATATTAAGGGGGAAGGAGCAGCCAGGAGTATCTTCATTTATCTTCAGCTGATTTGCCAGTTGCAATACTATTTGGAAAAAAATTACAGATGCAGATTGAACTACTCCAATTCTCTTTCTGGGGAGCAAACCTTTGAAAACATCTCCATCCTTTAAAGACAGTTCTGAAACTTCAATTAGTTCACAGCACAGATGCCAGGATATGAAAAAAGTAAGGCAATCAAATCACTTTATAGTTTTCTTGCATCAGCTGCCCATGTGCTTCCATGCTCAAATTAAGGCACTGGTTTTGACCATCAAGCTTTAATTGGCCTAGGACATAGTTACCTAAAGCAGGGGTCATCAACCCCCGGTCCATGGCCCAGTGCCAGTCCATGGGCTTGCCGGAACTGGGCCGCGGATATGGATCTCCACCAGCCCCTCACACCAGGGGTGGGCAATTAATTTCCATAGGGGGGCACATGAAAAATCTGAACTGTGTTTGGGGGCTGAACCAATTTTACTTAAAAATAGGCCCCCATTTAGTTGGTTAGTAATAGGCCCCCAATTTGTGGGTAGTAATAAGTCCCATTGGGTGAGGCCCTGCAGTGAACAAACTACAAGGCTGACATAGTTAATTCCTTAAACTTTTTTGGGACTGGAGCGACGACTGGTGGGCTGGACAGGAGCGGCTCGCGGGCCATATGTGGCCCATGGGCCGCACTTTGTCCAGGTCTGCCCCACACCCTCTTGCAGGGGGCGTGTTATGCTCACAGTGGGTGTATCACGCTTGCAGTGGGCGTGACATGCAGGCGGTGGCATGTCGCGCTCACACACATGCGTGAGAGCACAACACACACACACAGGCACAACATGCCCACCGCATGAGCATGGGGGTGTCTCCAACCCCCCCCCACTCATGGAGCTCGCTCCCCCCAGCCGATCCACAGCCCCAAAAAGGTTTGGGATCACTGACCTAAAGCACTGTTTGGATCTACATGAACTTACTTTCTTAAAATTAAGAACTTTATTTCAGACCCTACTCTTTGGTCTTTTATCAAATCCAACATCCTTGGCAAGTGCAGAGAAATAGCCCATTTCACTTTTTAAAAAATTAAACATTTCCTTCCACCCTGAACCCACCTCTAGGTCCCCAGCACTGAATGGGATTATTCAGGAACAGTTGGGGCCTCAGGACAGCAGGAAGAAATGTTTAATTTCCAAATGAAATCACATAATGGATGCTAAAAAACAGGACTTCCTCAGTGCTAATATAGTATAAATGATGTATTTCTTTAACTGTAAATAAAACAAGACGGACAATACAATCTTATTGAAATTTACTCAGAAATAAATTCTATTGTGCTAAGTGATGCTTACTCCCTAGCAAGTGTGTTTCGGACTGCAACTTCAAAGAAACTAAGCCAGTAGTGTTTCATTACAAGTTAAGGAAGATGGGAGCGCTTAATAAATTTTCAGCAAATGGCATACTCATATCTTATTTTCCTAAAATTGCTTTTAAAAGCCGAAGCAAGTATAATTGCTATATTAAACCATTACAGCTGAGTTCTGAAGTTAACCAGTGTAGATTAAATGATCTAGGATTAGCTCTTCCATTATGCACTGCCATATTAGCTTGTTTTCAGTCACTTTTCAAAGTTTTCAGATCATCTAATAACATATACTCTAAAGGGCACTATCGTAAGTTCAACTCATATTCATGAAAAAACTTACTGGTTTAATATCTCTGTGTAAAAATCCCACAGAATGAATGCTTTCAATGGACTCCAGAATTTGCTTGCCAAGTCGCAATGTGGTACTAATAGTGAAGGTTCCCCGTGTTTGACTTCGACGTAGATCTGCCAAGTTCCGACCCTAAAAAAAATTCAAGTACACAGAAACTAAGCATGTTATATTTCACAGCACCAGCAAAAAGGAAGACCATTAGACAGGATCAAATGTTCTTCTTCCAGGTTCTATCCCACAGAGAAGCTCTCCCCCTCACTCTCACTCTCTCTTTTTTTTTGCCTGATGATTGTGTTAGGACAGAGGCAGGAAAGAGCTATCTGTAGACTTCAACACTGCATACCAGAGCCTGTCAGAAGTGATCTTATTCCACTAGTAATTATAATCATTTTATTTATTTATTTATTTGTTTGTTTGATTTATATCCCACCTATCTGGTATATTCTACCACTCTGGGCGGCTTACAGAATATCAAAAACAATTTTAAAAAAAACATAAAAACATTAGCATACAACAATAACAAATAGTGCAATTTGTGCACAAAAAGATACAGTACAGCAGAGAAACCAAGTTTCTAGAATTCAGATGCAGAGCCTTAACTGACATCTAGAAACTCTCAAAAGTAGTAGTTTGTTTAGTTAGTCTCAGCAAAGGTATAGTGGAAAAGGCAAAATATTGTAGCTCTCTTAAAGGCTATAGATTTATTTCAATGTGAGTTTCTGTGGATCAAAATCCAGTTCTTCAAATACAAAGAGTGCAAAATACATGTCCTCATATCTCTTCTATGGTACAATAAATAAACATTTCTTCCCTGATAGAATCTGATATTTGTCCCATAAATTCTTTTTATCTTTTCTGTGACAATCAAGTCTGTCTTATCTAGCTTATTACATTGGATAGGATCTGCTAATTAAAGCTTGATTTCTGTATTAATGAACAACTGCCACTTTGTCTATTACTTATATCCTCACCTGGACGTGAAAATAAAAATAACTAGGCTTCTGAAACAAAACAGATTTTCATTTCCTTTTTATTACAGTTTACCAGTAATCTTGAAAAACCTAAACAGATCCTAACTTTTCAAAGAACTGTTCTCATAAACAAAGGTTGATATAATGTTGGTGAAACCATTCTCACAAAGAGCAACAACAGCAGAAGCAAGTGTTGCTCTCAGTACATAATTCTCAATAACATTCCTATGGAATAACATGACTGGTTCATGAAGCAAACGCAAGACCATACTGTCAGTCCACCAAAATGAACAGAAGATGCCATTATGATGTTAGTGCTTGAGAACAGCAGGCAATTCTTTCTGCATTTCCTCTCACATTTTGTTTCATAATAATTTTTCCTGAAAAAGTGGGAAAGAGATTGCTACACCATGTGACTCATTTTCTACCTCTCCTCCATATTTCTCTAGATTTTAACCTAGTTGCATCCTAGAACAACAAATCAATTTTTCTTACTTAAGGGAAATGCTTTGTCCAGGGCACATTCTGCTGTCTTTTACTTCTCCAAGTAACATTTTGTCTAAATAATTCAGTGTTCACCTTCTGCTTTACATTATTTCCAAATAAAACACATCATATTTTTAGTATTCTAGTCTATAGTACTTATTTAACTTTATGAACATCAATAAAAATCAAGAGATTATAAATGGAATGGAAGATGTAGAACTAAATATACATCAATTCACATATGGGGTCCCCCCCTTGCTAAATTTTAAATGTAACATTAAATGGAAAAAAATTATCATTAGATAAACTGATTGATGGGAGACTGGAGGTTTAAAAATGTATCTGTGGAAGTATTAAAATATATCTGATGAAACATTACCTTTTCCTTTTTAGTAATACAGTGGTTTCTTGAAATGATACAAGTTGCACAAGACAATAGACAGGTAAGCATGGATAACAAAGTTAATTAGTGTAACAAACTCACTTGCAACTGCATGACCACATAATTAAATCTGTCATTCCTTCCACAGCCAACAAATTTACAGACATGATCTTTTCCTGTGGGTGAAAAGATTACATATTTAATTTTGTCTTTAAAAAAAATCATAGGTTTTAGTCAGAGCTTGGAAGTAACCAGCTATAAATTACTAATTGTTTGTAGTTAATAACAACCTGAAACTACATTACATTATCATCATAATGACTTAATAAACAACAGCTTTGCTCCTTTTGGAGTGTGACCTTATACATTACTTTCATCATTATCGGAAATGGACATAATACATTTTGGAACAGAAATATCACTTATTCTGACCAGTGTTGTGTGTTACAGTCTGCTGTGAGTGTTAAAGGAACAATAGGAGGGCCAGGAGGACAAGATATTTTTGACATAGACCTTTTGGTCCTTACATTCATATTTTACACCAGGGAATGGGCAATTTCCAGAAATCTGGAGGCTGCAAAAATGCATTGCAGAAATACGGAACACCACACACTGTTGAGGTCCATACCAGTACTGTACTTCATGACCACCAAGATCCTCTGTAAATATGTTTCAATTTTTTACAAAATATTAACAAACCCTCCTCATGCCTTCTAGAAGGTGTAAGAGCAAATACATTAGGTTTGACACCAATCCTAAACTGTTTTATACATAGGATTTTTCAAAATTGTTATTTGACTTTTTGTTTTGAAACAATCCCCTTCTGGGCTTAAAACAGTTTGGGAGCCAAAGACCTGGTGAAAAAGAAGCAGGAAAATAAATAGCTACTTACTCACAGTTTTTAAAACTGTGACTAAGAAAGTAACTGGGGGTGGAGGCTTGGACTGGATTTTTTCAAACTCTGATTCAGATCAAAACAAGCACAGATTAAAGGGTATTTCCCCTCAATACTGAAAAGCTCTTTCTGAGAGTTGGAGAGTGCTCTTCAGAATGGAGTGCACTGTGGCAATAAGGCAAAGGAGAAGGGGCATCAAAACCAGACAGAGGTTCCTGCGCAATGTACCAGTAAACATTCAACAACCCCCTCTGCTTTGCATGAAACACACTATGAAAGAGTGAAACTGTTCAGCTGTTTTGCATTTGGTTCTTGATTTTTCAATGATTGCTTTCTGTTTAGAACCTAGACTATCACTCAATAACAGAGTTTTGTCAGAACAAAAATGTGTGGCATGTTTTCCAAAATACAGCAGCGTGCCATTAAGACTTCTTAACACCAGCATTTGCAGTACACTTTAATAGTGAAGCACACAAAAGTGCATACACATATTTCCATTGTATTTGACTTCACACATTCAATGTAATAAAGACATCCAAGGTCACAACTGCCTTGGGAAGCATTTTAAATTGAAGCAATAATTTTCTGACCAGTTCAAGAATCAGTTTTAAATTGGATTTTTTTATTAAAGTTGAAACATCATGAAATGTGCAGCCTCAATTATACTGCTTTCTATTATGACATAACTTAGAAATTTGCTTATGGTGCCTGTTTAGCCATATATTATACAGTACAGTGGTGCCTCGCTTAATGAGCGCCTCATATAGCAACGAATCCACATAGCGATCCCTTTTCCGGGATCACTAATGCGGAGGCATCGCGTCAGCCTCTATGGCCGAAACTCGCATAGCAAAGATTGGTAAGCGTTTCGCTTACCGACCTTCGCTTTGCGACCCGTGGATCAGCTGTTCGGCGGGTCCAAAATGGCTGCCGGAACAGCCGAAATGGCCGCACGCAGCATTTTCGCGCCCTCCCCTCGCTTACCGAGGGCGCGGAAATGGCTGCCGGCTATGGGAAGACTTCGTTAAACAGTGAGTTTTCTGCCGATTTGGCTTTTTTTGTTCCATTTAACGAAGTATTCACATAGTGAAGGTTAATCCAGAACGGATTAACCTCGCTATGCGAGGCACCACTGTATCTACATTAGTGCAGTTTCCTTCACTATAATTTACTTCTAAAGCAAAGAAAAACATTATGTTATAAAAACTCAGTATTTGACCAACAAAGTAAAAACTACTAACACTGTTCTTTAGAATGCGAATGTCATCAAAGATAGGCAAGCATTTCTGATCCATGTCTTAGGCTTAATCCTGTTTTTCTAAAAATAATTCAGCTCCAAACAGCCACATTATGAGAAGGGCAAAACATATACACAATACAGTGGTGCCTCAATTTACGACCATAATCCGTTCCAGAAGATGGACATAACTCGAAATGGTCGTAAGTCGAAGCACCACTTCCCATAGGAATGCATTAAAATGCAATTAATCCATTCCAGCCGAAGAAAAAAATCACTAAAAAAAATCACTGCAAGACTCATTGGAAACGCAATTAATCCCTTCCAGCCAAAGGGGGGGGAGCAATCAAGTGTGCAAGAGCAATAGGAAATGCACAGAAAACAAACAGATCAGATCAGAAATGCACAGAGAGCAAAGGGGACAGGTCGGAAATGCAAAGAAAACAAACGAAAAAGCAAGGGAAGCATGAAGGACCCATTGGAAATGGGAGAAAATACCCAAAAAGCAACCACCCCCCCCAAGACACATCGGAAATTGGGGGAAAGCAAAAAACAAAAAATAAACAATCCCCCCAAGGCCCATCAGAAATGGGGGGAAAACGCAAAAAGCAACCAAACCCCCCAAGACCCATCGGAAATGGAAAAAACACTCCAAAAAGGAACAAAACCTCCCAAGACCTATTGGAAATGGAGGAAAAAATAAAAAACAAACTCCCAAAGACCCATCACAGCACAGAAACATAACCCCCCCAGCCCAAAACCATGCTGCAAAAACACCCAGAACAGTTTTTAAAAAGCAGGAAACAGCACCTTACCTTGCGAGGCAGCCCAAGGCCTCCCTGCAAACACACACGCACACACTCACTTAGAAGCAGAAGGAGGCAGTTCCGAAGCCTCCTCCAACCCACACTCTCTAACTGCTAGGACGAAAGAGCTACAAAGAAGCAGCCTCGTCGCCACCTACAGTTAGCAATCTGAATTTCCCACCTTTCCCCCTGCCTTTTTCTGTTAGAAAATGGAAGCTCCGGTCACAAGTAGAATCAAAATTTTGCAGCCGGAGCTGGTCGTAACTCGAAATGGTTGTAAGAAGGGACGTTTGTAAGTCAAGGCACCACTGTACTGAAGGCCATTCTAACTAAAAGATCCCAGCTCATTCTTTCGAAATATAATACAGTAAAATGTAATACTGGGAGCATCTTAGGCTGTTTCTCAATTCACTCCATGTTATTTATTAATGTTTCTGCTATCAAGATGAAAAGGTTTGCTTGTTCCTAAAAAGAAATAATGCCATTCTACAGTTACATCCTTCAAACATCTTCTAGACTTATTGCAGAATATTTCAACATGCAGCATTTCTACCAGCAAGGAATTGTAAATATGTAAAAACATTCAATAATACTATCCACCCATGAATCCACCCACCCATTTCCTCTCTTCTCAGTATGATATAGTCAAAAGGAGAATTATACTACTACCGCATGCTTTTTCCAGATATATAGGTTAACTTTAGCAAAGTTCTACACCAGTGGTTCCCAACACTGGGTTCCCAGATCTTAATGGACTAAACTTAAACTCCCAGAAACCTTCACCACTATCTGTGCTGGCCAGGATTTCTGGGAGTAGTTGTCCAAGAACATATGGGGACTCAGGGTTAGAAAACCTTGTTCTACACCAAAAATGAAAGTTCCCCAGCTCTTATTTATTTTAAATCATTCTTATGCTGCACTAGTATCTACCCTCAGGCTACAAAACTAGTTGCTAACTGCATCCGGATGTGAACTCTACCAGCATGATTATGGTTCCAGCAACGCCATACACAACATCAAAAACCCCTATACTTGTTCATCTGCTAATGCAATCTACATTGGGCAAGCATGACACACTCTATGCAAGAGAAACAGACCATTTTAAAACACTTCAGCCTAGTAGGACACTCTGGGTGAAATCTTATTGTTTGGCATAGTAAGTTACAACTATTCATTCATTCATTTAAATAGATTAGGTATACTAAATCAGTGACGATTTAGTGAGTGAATTCCTCTGTAAATTCCATTGATTCAATGGGCCTAATCTAGTTGCAATATACTATGCTAAGCAAAAGGATTTCAGCCTGTTACACATTCTGAGTAACAGTTGCAGAGAAAAGTTTACAGAAACAGATTAGTGAAACAAAGAGAGATGTGACTGAAATGGGTCATATTTACAGAGTCCAATGTATATCAAAAGGATTAACAAAAAAACAAGAATACATTGGTTTCATCCACAGTCCTAAGTATAACTACAGCCTATCTTTTTCTGCCCTAATTTGCCTCAGCACAACGTCCTGGAACCACCACTATTCTCATTTCAAAGTTTATCAGCCTACAACTGATACTGACTGACAAGCTATGCATGGTAACAAGTTATCTATGTAATCAGTGCTTCGAATATTCATTACTGGTATTAATGGTGTCATAGTCATTTTGAAAGCTCATTACCAATATAACTATCACCCCTTCTCCCCCATCTCACTTTTTCACATCCCTCTACCATGTATTCTATATATACAAACCTGTGGCTTCATTACTATGCCCCACGCCTCTGAGGAAGCGGACTATAGACCATGAAAAATCATTCTAAAATAAATCTATTAGTCTTCAAAGTGCCACAATACATTTGTTTTAATTTTTGTTATATAAGCTGAAAGAGACTAACACAGCTACTTTCTAGAAAACAATAATGCTAAGCAGTTATCATGCCTCAACTCTGAACCTAGCTAGTTTCTCATAGTAAGCAAAATTCAGAGTGACAGAAATCTTTTGTTTCTTCACTTTGAGTCCCATTCACAGGGGTAGAATTTATGGCTCATGAACCCTGAATAAACAACAAAAGTGTAAACAGGAGCCATAAACCAGCTCTCATAATATGAACTTGAATCACGGGCTTAATCTTTGTAGCACAGATGTTGTCACACTGTTCCAATCTGAATCAACTGGAATGGTAAACAAAGAGTTCCAAGCTAAATGGCTCTGAAATACCAAATACTGTATATGAAGAACACATTT